CTGTCCCACTACCACCCAGTCCCTTCATCACCAGCATCAGCCCCACCACTGACCTGAGGCTCATCACCACCAGCAACTGCCCCATGGGTGGGTTTTCGTCTGCTGATCACAAGGCAGCGGTCCTCCCACCTCGTAGTCTCCTTCTCCTGCCCAGGCCTCACCCCTTTGCTATTGGGATACTGTGGGAGACTGCTAAAGACAGTAAAGGACATTCCCTGCTCTACTCTTGTCCCACTGGGCCAGCCAAGCAAGCTCTTAGGTCCAGCCTAGCACAACTCACCCTCGGTGAATCCCTGCTGGCTCCCACCACCTGATGGCTGCTGCTGGCTTGAGCAAACAGATTCCCTTTCAAAGGCAGGGAAGGTATTTCACCCCATCGGTTGCAGCAGGTAACTTGGCTTCCCTCCAACTTCAAACCTGTTGCAATGTCGCAGTAGCTGTATCTTTTTTTTTTTTTTTCTCCCACTATTCAAGGGCAAATTGAACATCTGAGGTACTGTGACAGTAAGAGGCAGTTAGCCAATATTTTGCTCAAAAGACTGGTAAGCTGTTCTTAGCGCTACATAGCTCATAGTTCAATCAGTATGTATCTTTGCAAACTCATCACCAAAGGAATTTTAAAAAGACATAAAAAACTATAGCTGTTTACAGAGAGATGGATGAAAACAACAGGACAGCACTGAAGAGAAAAATTGCAATGGGAACGGGTCTTGGCTTGCTCAGGGGCTTGGTGGATAGCAGCTCCAAGATCAGGAATGCTTTAGGCGAGAGAAACCATTTGCTGACCGCCCTCTTCTTTCCCCTTTTTTCTTCTTCTCATGACTGAATGGCAGAGCAGATCGAATTGTGTTTACATGGCAAGGTTTTAGTAGCGGGGGGCTACAGGCGGCTCCAAGGCGGACCCGCTGCTGGCCAAGGCCGAGCCCACCAGAGATTCTGGTGGCACTCTCATAGCAACAGGCGGGAGGAGTTCCATCTACTTACAAATTCGTAACAACTCCCAAGACAGAGGCCTGAAAATAAAATCAGACATTGTTGAGGTTTTTCCCAGGACATCTGACTCCTTATTTTCCTTCTTTTAAAAAAAATGCAGTGGGGTATTTGCTTTGGATGACAGATGCTGATATGGCTTGTTTTATACTGAGGTGCCAGCTGTTCCTTATGTTCGGAAAACAATGCCAAACCTGCTGTTAGGAAGCTTATTATAGTGTCTTTTATCCAGTGGCAAGTTGTTCCAAGTGGGCAATTATTCCCGCTGAAGTTTTTTCTCTTTTTAATAGACACTTGATTTTATGCTAGAGGTCAGTGCTGTTATCATTACCTGTAGTGACTGGATATTTGGAGTAATAAGCCATATGGCATTCTATAAAGCAGAGCTATGAGTGAAGAGCAAACAGCATTAAGCAAAAAGGGAAGTATTTCCATAACTGTAGCTACATTTTTGCCCGCATTAGTCCTACAAAGGTGGGGATTGTGGTGTGAGCGCTGCTTTTAGAGAAAATCAGTTTGGCTTGGCAGAAGGGAAAGCTTTTTGTACAGGAGTGCTCTCCCACCACGGTAATGAGACAGAACTGGTCGTGACCTTGCAGGAAAAGCATCCGTTCCCTCCTCTCTGCCTACATCTTCATGAACAACCAGCTCAGAGAAAGCCTCCACACACAACGTTTGACTGATCCCATCTCTCGTTTTCTAACTACCTCCCTGCGCCCCAATCTCATTTATAACTACCACAACCAGTTTCTGGGGTGAGTTCAATTATCGAACAGCAAGAGCTCGGCACCCTTCCACAACAACTGTGCACGTATGATCCACGACAACTGCCAAATACCTGGAACCCATCCCTCCAAGCCTCCAATGCCCATTCAGAGTCTGGTCGCCCCATGAGTATGCACCCCAAGAGCCAGGTCCTTAGAGTTACGTGAAAATCTCCCAAAACCAAAGGTCCTACAAATGTTCAAACCATTTCTATATATGTGCAGCTGTTCTGGAAAAACAGCTTCTGTAGCTTTTTCGTTCTCAGACTTGTTTCTGCCAGGCAGTTGGTGACATTTCAGGGGTTTCCCGAATGACTTGCTTTTCCTATTTCCACAACTAACAGCTTTGCTTTCAAATGGAGAGAATGCATTTTCCCCGGGGATGAAACCATGGAAATACCAGCATTGCAGACACTAATAATTCAGAAGTCAATATTGTTAGTGCACATTTTTCTATAACACCCAGGCACAAATGCAGGGTAAAAATGCAGATGCATATGTTTATTTGAACAGAACACAGCCCAGCAAACATCTGACCCTGACCTGCACAGCTGCCTGCTGGAAATGACTTGAACCACTGCCGTGGCAAAGATGACAGATACGCATCAAGCCCTGCAATCAGGAAGGCATAACACCAGCTCTAATCATTGGAGTTGCTCCTGCTTAAGCCCAGGCTGCGTTTAACCAATTTCATGAAATGTCTTCTCTCCCAAGGTTATGACATGCAATGCTGTCACTGAAAAGACTCATCTAAGTAAAGATACCGTTCAAGGCTATTTATCCGAAGCTTTGCGATTAATAAAATATTCTGCGTATTTTCTGCAGTATAGTGTCTTCTTGCTTCAAATGGGAATATTTGAGAAAGAATTGCTATATCAATTTAAAATATGGCAAACATACGTAACATTAGGATGATCACTAGCAGTAATTTACATTATATTAACAACTTGGTATTTAGTGATGGGGAAGATATTTATGAACGTGCTCATTTTTCCTCCTCAAACACTAAGATTTTTGCTTGCTGCAAAATGGGAAAGCTGGAGAGGAATACATGAGTTACTGAATGACACATCGACAACATGAGGAAAGGAATTTTTTTGGCAGTTAAAGTGGTATTGCTTCAAATCTGTGGACATTCGCAGCTGGTTGGAGCAAGCAACAACAGGTCTTTGCTTAAACACACACCTAAAGTGAATGCTATTAATGAGGATAATTGGCTTTGGCTGAGCCGGCCAACATCCTAAGCTCTTTCTGAGCAGCAACCACAAGTCAATATGAATTATGAAGCACTGATGCAAGTTTGTTTGTTGATTGTTTAACAAATGAGTCAGTGGCTCATTTAAATAGCATTTAAATTATGTTTTCATTGTCATAATAAGTTGTAGCCTCAAATACAGTACACTACAGCAGCGTAACCTGGAAACATGCAGACGTGGCAAATACTGCATCTGAGGAGAGAAGGTCTCAATGGACATTCAGGGTGCAGGGTGCCCACGGTTATCTTTCCAAACTCTCATAGAAAGAATCGACGTTGAGGGAAAAATTAAAGATCTGGGTAAAGGAAATTAGACATGAACCACGAAATCTTTTCCAGTTCCTCCAGGTGAATGGTGCTGTTGTCTTGGACCAAAGCCAAAACCCAGTTACCCCACCTTCGAGTCTAAACAGGAATTCCTACCTTGAAGTCACACACTTGCACCACCTGGGTGTCCCAGGAAGCGGTGCTGCTAAATGTTATCAGCTGTGTATGGTGCACATCCTCATTAACTTAGTTAAAGGCTGTGTTTCATCCCATTTCTGTCAAGTAAGAGGTTACAAAATAGAGCCCCCCTAGCTATGTGGAGCTTGCAGATGCTAAACCCTAATCCTTGCTGCAATAAGTGTCTCAAATGAGTTTCTGTTGTCTACCTACTGCTGAAGGTAGGTCCAGAGGAGCCTCTGGTACTGGACACAGGCAAAGTCTGGAATAAGACTACCCAACTGTAAGTAGATTAAGAACAAAAGGAAAATACAGAGTAATATGGGATGCTCGGCGCCCGACAGGGAGACCTTTTAATCTTGGGATATGGGTTTCTGTAGTTTGTGTATCACAACACAAAGTGAAAGCCGCCCCCCCCCCTGGTAATCTGGAAAATCATGCATTGCTGCATGCTTGAGAAAGTGTGAGCAAGTTCTCAGAAATGGCATATTCTGGAGATGCTGCTTTTGTGGTTTGGGTTTTTTTTTTTAAAATAGTTAACTGCTCTACATCACAGTCAGTATGGACTGATTGAAAAGGCTGTTATTTTGAGATTTAAAAAAAAACCCTCAATCTTTTATGTAAAAGAAAATGCTGTTTAAAAAAAATAACCTTCTTCTTTTAATTTTTTTTTTTTCTGGTTGGAGAAGATATAAAATAAGCTAGAAGACCTGCTTGTTCCATCTAGATAGAAAGGAGAGAAAAAAAAAATCCAGTGGGGAAGAAAATAAGGGAGAGGGGTAGTTCAGAGAAACCAGCTTCTATGAAGTGCCAAATCCTTGTTCTCAGGTACTTTATGGGCCTGAATTTCAGGTGGCTATTACCCAGTGTTAGTTACCTAGAAAACGCTACAGAACAAAACAACAGTATAATTTACCTGCATGGTTTCTTCTGTGGGTGGTGCTCCTCTTACCTGCTTTTCCTTAATCCAAGCCTAAAATCTCTCAGATTAAGTACATCGTACAAGCAGTGGTTGTTTATTTTATCTGTTGCTGGTTTGTAAATGTCTTTGCTCTTTCCAGTGAAAAATGGCCATGTATAGCTAAGGCAAGTTCATTTACTTATTTGCCTCCTCATTCTCTTCACTTCTGGCAGTTCTAGTTGCTCTTGAAATTTCATTTGTTAGTTATTCTGAAACATAACTACCTGTACCAGTGTTTTTTTTAAAAAAAAGTTTCTAATGCATTGTATTCTGTTACTGACTGTGTTATAAAATCATGGAGATCTAAAAAAAAAAAAAAAAAAAAACACAAAAACCAGTTTATATAAACAGCTTCATATTTTTAGAGCATGGGGTCAAGCAGATCAGCTTTTAATTAGAAACAGATTAAACTTTGATCATTCCTGCGGAGCTCTCCAGCATTGACTGAAGGTAATCCTTGCAAGCTTTGGAGTGAGCGTAGCTGAGATAGCTTGCCAGTGACTTTGCATTTAAAACTGAAGGTCAGAAAGTCAAAGCAGTGCATTAAAGCTGGGAAGACTTAGATCCTACTGGGGTATGGGCGCAAATGATGTGCTGCTGGGGCACGCAAAAGAAGAGCAGTCCAAACTACAAATCAAATGCTAAAGTGCTCCTAAGCTCTCGAGATCAGTTCATTGATTTATGGTAATGTATGAATATGTCTATTTCAGCGAAACTTATGTAAAACCAGATAGCAGTGTAGTTCATATCTGAGGAATGGAAGTAATGTTTGTTTCTGTAGTTTTTGGTCACATAAGGTAATGGTAACTTAAAAATGCAATGTAAAGTGTCATGAGATTTGACGTAACTGTGTGTATATATATATTTATCATCCGCCTTAATAATCTTTGAGGTGTTTATGGTGTTTCTACAATGATAAACTGATTTAAATTGCTACATCCAGGTGCATCTTTGTACTTTAGCTTTGTTTCAAAAATGTATAGCTGCCAAAAAAGGCAACTTAAAAAAAAAAAGCCTCATATGGACAGAAGAATGTATGTTTATTCGCAAGAGAAGTATCAACATTTTGTGAAGAGTATTCTCAAAACTACCATTTAAATAACATGATTAAAACAGGGTGAAACTGCAGTGGCAAAGGTGTCCCTGCAAGAAATTCAAAGTGGCAAGTTAGAACGTGAAGCTTTCTCGTGGACTAACAGTGAAAATAACAACCAGCTTGCTCAAAAGGCTTATGAAAGCACAGTCCTTTAGGTGTTATTTACTTCACTATCATTTATTTAACTGCTTCTGAAAAGTCTCTCTAAATGCTTGTATGTTATCTGTGCTCGTGTCAGTGCACATCACTTAATGTTTCTTATCGTAAAATCTCACTGAAGTATTCTTCGAAGCGGTGCAGCCCAGTCAGCAGACCTAAGTTCTGTACCCAGCTCTTGAGTAACTCAGTTGAAATGCATTTTTTCTTATTTTCTTTAAACTTTTATGGGATACCTTGCCCCATAGGAGTACCATAGGTATATGGAATTCTATGGGATTGTCTTGTTCCTTATTGGTGAATGATACAGTGACCTATAAGGGCCTCACTGAAGGGTGCAATGACTGGATGGCACAAATGGGCGGAGGCGGTGGTGACTCCCGTAACCCTCTGAACGTCTTCCACAAGAGAGGCAGTCAGGAAAGCAATAGCCTCGTGGGAAGCTTTTCACTTGCCTGTTCGAACTGAGATGCATTCAAGTATGTGAGATTAAAAGAAACTACTTTTGGAAGCAGCCTGGTTTTATTAATTAATTGAAGGTGTGCGTCGCTGTATGTGCAGCCCTGCACAGCCCGGCCGAGGTGCCCTGAGACTTGGGCAAGGCAAATTGTGTGTGTGTGTGAACAGGCAGTGCCAGAGGAACATAGGTGTGTGTTTCCATCCTTAAAACACCTCTTTGGTGTTCAACTTTTTTTCAGTGTAGTATTAATCTTTTATGTTTAACTGTTCGTGTTAAGTTAGAGCGAATTTAAGTTTGTCTTACTCTCAGGGTATCAGTTTTGGAATACGTGAGTTGGGAATGCAGACAGCAGATGCTCCTGATGCTGAACTTTCCCAGGGGAGCCTCTTTTGTCATAAATGTGGAAAGGAAGGCATACTGATTTCCAAGAAAACTTTTTCTAGAGGAGCAAATAAATATAAGTCATAACTTAAATTACGAGCATAATGATAATATTTTCCTAAGTGATTTGACTGAATGCAGTGAAAGTTTGAAAGCTCAATTTAGACTAAAAAGGTCTGACTTCACATAAGCCAGGTGTTCTGATTAGTGAGAACTTTATTTTCAAGGATTTCTTAGACCCAGCTTTCCAGGAAAACAAGAGAGAGTCTCTGAGCAGAATGTACTGAATTCCGGTTTTGTTTTTCAGTGAACAGTATAGGAAGACTCTGGGTGGGGAGGCAGATGGACTGCATTTTTTTTGTTGTTTTTCACTCTTGCAACTGTAGGTTGTCACCTCTGCCTGGTCTCTTCCTCAAACTGATGTGCTATGACTGGCGTTTCACTGGCTCGCTCTGCTTCATGCTTATATTTTTGGAGAGGTTTTTGCTGGCCCTAAGGACTTCCCTCAGCCACTTGATGAAGCCAAGTGTGGGGACAGGTGACTGTCACTAGAGGGTGCTGCACAGCTAGCTTGGTTAGGATTTTCCTACCCCCCCCATCCCCAAAGTAGCTGATGGGTAGCATTCTGGCTGACGGTGCACCTAACGCAATTTGCTGCTGTTGTGGTTCCGAACTCTTTGGTTAGTTGTTGGATATATCTGATAACCCTGGTAAGAGAAACATAAAACTTTGGGAAATGACTAGGTGATATGTCTACCTAGAGTTTGCCTGGCGATGCTGTTTGTGATTTTTTTTTTTATAAGCTCTTTTCTTGTCGAGCTTTACTTAAATTTTGTCTGCCTGTGGCATGGTCTGGCTTTTAAGACATGCGTGGTTCCTTTTTTAATTAATTTTTAAGTCATTGAAACATAAATGGATTGATAGTTTTAATTAGGTATGTTCATACTTTCTTCCAACCATCTTTTAAAATAACTTTTGCACATGCCTAACCCAGCTGGGGTTTCTGGTGACATGCAGTGGTAGGCAAAGCAGTAGCTCAGGCTTATCATAATGACCTATTCATGTAAATGTTGTTGCTTAATTGCTGTGAACACCTATTGGCACTTCACAGCAAAAGCTCTTGTACCTGAAAAACATGAGGCTGTAAGGCAAAATAAATATGCAGGTAGAAAAACACCTAAACCCCAATATTGTTTTATTCCTCTTCTATCACCATTTAAAGCAGGTGTTTGCTCTTTCAAGCGGACATGAGCAGCAGTGTGAATATGGCCGGTGCGGCACCGTGTTGCAGGATACCCAAGCCAGCTCTGAATGGGCTGGCGTGGCTGAGCAGCCCAGGATGGCTCCTGATGAGTCCTCTGTGGGGAATTTAATGTAGCTACCTACATCTGGGATGGACTTGGCCTCTAGTAGGATTTGATACTCAGCTGCAGTGAGTTATATTTTGGGAAACAACTGATTGTCACACTGCAAGAATAGGAGTGTCGGCAGTCAGGTCACCATGGCTGCAGTCTTTGTTTCATTTTTAGGTTAACTTTTCAGATCTTAGTAAGGTGTCTGATTTGGGAATGGTAAGGCTTCAGCACCCAGTTTTGTCTGTGCTTTTGTCCCCATTTGAGAAATAAGAGCGCATCATTATCACAGGACCTGTCAGGAAGTCGGGCAAGGATTTAATTTCTTGTGTTGTGATTATCCTAACCATGGAACAGAAGGGACAGGCGTGCCCAATGCTCCCTTGAGAGGGTAACTCTTCTACCCTCCAGTCCCACTAAACAGAGTGGGGAATCTGTGTCCATTCCTTTCAAAACTGTAAAGCTTTTCAGGGAAGTTATTTCAATGTCAGCATGAGGGGTTGTTGTGAAGCCTTCTGAGCTAGATACTTGGCAGTGATGAGCTCACAAATTAAACACGTTACTGGAGAGACATGAGGTTGGTTATGTGAGCTTGCTGGGTGTGTATTCTCCCCTAGCCACCACACTTGATCACTAGCTGAGAGATTTGGTGACTTTGTGCTGATGGGTGCAGTGGGATTCCCAAAGCTCTATACTGAGGCAAAGCTTGGTTCCCTGCTTTGCATGGAACCACTCTGGGTGCACCATGGCTTTGGAGTGCCAGAGAGAAAATACTGAATTGTTCTCTAACTTTGTTCTGTTTGGATACAGTATTTTCTAAAGACTCGAGTTGGCTGGAGAGCCATGTTTGGGAAAAATACGGCTTCCAATATAGTCAGAATAGATGTGCTTTCCTTTGGTATATAGATGAAATGGGCATTTATCTTCATGCAGGATTATGCCACTGGTGAGGCACAACCATGCGGAGACGTATCATCCCACCTCCTCTTGGGCTTGTCCCAGGGACCACTCTATGCTCCTAAGCAGCTTGTGCTCCTGCTCACCAATTACTTCTGCTTGGTCCTTCTGACAGGAATGTCTGACACAAGAAAAAATTGTTCCTCTTCTGACAAGCACTTTACAATTAATTAGTTGTAATACAAAATAAACAGAGATCCTTTTTCAGTAGGGCATAGCTGCTTCCCCTGTCGCAGGGGCTAACACTCTGCATGTCTGTTGTGTACGTGCACCCACTGTAAGATGTCTGGCCTCTTCCTTTCCACAGTAAAAACCAATAAATGCTGGAAGATGTTTACGTACTTTTTCCCCTTTGACCCCAAGTCTGAAGTTGCTACTTTACAGTGATTGCTGTATCCTGTTTCCATTAGGTCCGTGACATACAAGGCAATCAGGTGATGACCTTGAATCAGAACAGACGTCATAGCCCCAAATATTTGTTTCCAGTGCTACTTTAATGCTCACTGTTTGCTCCCAAGATAGCAAGTCGACTTTCTTATGGTAGTTTTCACTTAGAAGCTGGCCTGCGAGAAGCTCCAATTTAAACTTGATCTGACACAAAGAAGTAAGCTAAACCATGGAGAGGCTGCAGATATAGTGAGTGCATTTTTTGTGCCAAGAATAGCTTTGACAGGATCCGCATACCAAATCCTCCTGTGTCCTCATGGCTCGGAGGGGAAAAAGGTTCAGGTGCTTGGTTAAGTCTTACCTTTGAAGAACTGACTCAGAAAACAGAGTCAGCTTGTGTTGCTCTTGCAGTGTGAATTCTGAGGAGAGGTTATAGTCTATAAAGGATCTAGTGGTGTAAGGCTCTGAACACCTGGGCAAAACTTAATCAAAGGAGAAAAGAAGTAGGAGCTGCTCAAGGTGTGCGGCGTTTTGGTGCTTGCTTTCAAGTGTCCTGTGCTGGGAATTGAGGTTTGCTGAGGTTCAGGATCTGTGTTCTCATATGTTTTGGGGTTTTTTGGTGGTGGTTTGTTTTTTTTCACCTCAGAAGTGTGTGCAGGTAGTAGCTAATTAAAGTTTCAGTCAGGCTTGGATTTGAGGTGGAGAGGTGGGTGTGAACTGCCTCCACAGCTTGGAATGGTATTCACATTTGGCAACAGAGAAATAAACTGAGGTTGAGGAATGACTATTGAGGCAAACCTGATTTGTAGAGCTACAAAGTCTTTGCCTAGGATTAGTTTTGAGAGTTGTTGACAATTATTGATCTTCATTATGTAAATTTTGCCTCAAACACTTG